TGGTTTCCGGGGTGTTGATAAGGTGTTGCGAGTGGTTGCTAGGACATTAATAGGGCGTTGTGGATGGTGTCCAGGGTGTTGATAAGGTGTTGCGAGTGGTTGCTAGGACATTAATAGGGCGTCGTGGAATGGTTTCCAGGGTGTTGATAAGGTGTTGCGAGTGGTTGCTAGGACATTAATAGGGCGTCGTGGATGGTTTCCAGGGTGTTGATAAGGTGTTGCGAGTGGTTGCTAGAACATTAATAGGGAGTCGTGGATGGTTTCCAGGGTGTTGATAAGGTGTTGTGAGTGGTTGCTCGGACATTAATAGGGAGTCGTGGATGGTTTCCAGGGTGTTGATAAGGTGTTGCGAGTGGATGCTAGGACATTAATAGGGAGTCGTAGATGGTTTCCAGGGTGTTGATAAGGTGTTGCGAGTGGTTGCTAGGACATTAATAAGGAGTCGTGGATGGTTTCCGGGGTGTTGATAAGGTGTTGCGAGTGGTTGCTAGGACATTAATAGGGCGTTGTGGATGGTATCCAGGGTGTTGATAAGGTGTTGCGAGTGGTTGCTAGGACATTAATAAGGAGTCGTGGATGGTTTCCAGGGTGTTGATAAGGTGTTGCGAGTGGTTGCTAGGACATTAATAGGGCGTCGTGGATGGTTTCCAGGGTGTTGATAAGGTGTTGCGAGTAGTTGCTAGGACATTAATAGGGAGTCGTGGATGGTTTCCAGGGTGTTGATAAGGTGTTGCGAGTGGTTGCTAGGACATTAATAGGGAGTCGTGGATGGTTTCCAGGGTGTTGATAAAGTGTTGCGAGTGGTTGCTAGGACATTAATAAGGAGTCGTGGATGGTTTCCAGGGTGTTGATAAGGTGTTGCGAGTGGTTGCTAGGACATTAATAGGGAGTCGTGGATTGTTTCCAGTGTATTGATAAGGTGTTGCGAGTGGTTGCTAGGACATTAATAGGGCGTCGTGGATGGTTTCCAGGGTGTTGATAAGGTGTTGCGAGTGGTTGCTAGGACATTAATAAGGAGTCGTGGATGGTTTCCAGGGTGTTGATAAGGTGTTGCGAGTGGTTGCTAGGACATTAATAGGGAGTCCTGGATGGTTTCCAGGGTGTTGATAAGGTGTTGCGAGTGGTTGCTAGGACATTAATAAGGAGTCGTGGATGGTTTCCAGGGTGTTGATAAGGTGTTGCGAGTGGTTGCTAGGACATTAATAGGGCGTCGTGGATGGTTTCCAGGGTGTTGATAAGGTGTTGCGAGTAGTTGCTAGGACATTAATAGGGAGTCGTGGATGGTTTCCAGGGTGTTGATAAGGTGTTGCGAGTTGTTGCTAGGACATTGATAGGGAGTCGTGGATGGTTTCCAGGGTGTTGATAAAGTGTTGCGAGTGGTTGCTAGGACATTAATAAGGAGTCGTGGATGGTTTCCAGGGTGTTGATAAGGTGTTGCGAGTGGTTGCTAGGACATTAATAGGGAGTCGTGGATGGTTTCCAGTGTATTGATAAGGTGTTGCGAGTGGTTGCTAGGACATTAATAGGGCGTCGTGGATGGTTTCCAGGGTGTTGATAAGGTGTTGCGAGTGGTTGCTAGGACATTAATAAGGAGTCGTGGATGGTTTCCAGGGTGTTGATAAGGTGTTGCGAGTGGTTGCTAGGACATTAATAGGGAGTCGTGGATGGTTTCCAGGGTGTTGATAAGGTGTTGCGAGTGGTTGCTAGGACATTAATAAGGAGTCTTGGATGGTTTCCAGGGTGTTGATAAGGTGTTGCGAGTGGTTGCTAGGACATTAATAGGGCGTCGTGGATGGTTTCCAGGGTGTTGATAAGGTGTTGCGAGTGGTTGCTAGGACATTAATAAGGAGTCGTGGATGGTTTCCAGGGTGTTGATAAGGTGTTGCGAGTGGTTGCTAGGACATTAATAGGGAGTCGTGGATGGTTTCCAGTGTATTGATAAGGTGTTGCGAGTGGTTGCTAGGACATTAATAGGGCGTTGTGGATGGTTTCCAGGGTGTTGATAAGGTGTTGCGAGTGGTTGCTAGGACATTAATAGGGAGTCGTGGATGGTTTCCAGGGTGTTGATAAGGTGTTGCGAGTGGTTGCTAGGACATTAATAGGGCGTCGTGGATGGTTTCCAGAGTATTGATAAGGTGTTGTGAGTGGTTGCTAAGACATTATTAGGGAGTCGTGGATGGTTTCCAGGGTGTTGATAAGGTGTTGCGAGTGGTTGCTAGGACATTAATAGGGAGTCGTGGATGGTTTCCAGGGTGTTGATAAGGTGTTGCGAGTGGTTGCTAAGACATTATTAGGGAGTCGTGGATGGTTTCCAGGGTGTTGATAAGGTGTTGCGAGTTGTTGCTAGGACATTAATAGGGCGTCGTGGATGGTTTCCAGGTTGTTGATAAGGTGTTGCGAGTGGTTGCTAAGAAATTATTAGGGAGTCGTGGATGGTTTCCAGGGTGTTGATAAGGTGTTGCGAGTGGTTGCTAGGACATTAATAGAGAGTCGTGGATGGTTTCCAGGGTGTTGATAAGGTGTTGCGAGTGGATGCTAGGACATTAATAGGGAGTCGTGGATGGTTTCCAGGGTGTTGATAAGGTGTTGCGAGTGGTTGCTAGGACATTAATAAGGAGTCGTGGATGGTTTCCGGGGTGTTGATAAGGTGTTGCGAGTGGTTGCTAGGACATTAATAGGGCGTTGTGGATGGTGTCCAGGGTGTTGATAAGGTGTTGCGAGTGGTTGCTAGGACATTAATAGGGCGTTGTGGATGGTGTCCAGGGTGTTGATAAGGTGTTGCGAGTGGTTGCTAGGACATTAATAGGGCGTCGTGGATGATTTCCAGGGTGTTGATAAGGTGTTGCGAGTGGTTGCTAGGACATTAATAGGGCGTCGTGGATGGTTTCCAGGGTGTTGATAAGGTGTTGCGAGTGGTTGCTAGGACATTAATAAGGAGTCGTGGATGGTTTCCAGGGTGTTGATAAGGTGTTGCGAGTGGATGCTAGGACATTATTAGGGAGTCGTGGATGGTTTCCAGGGTGTTGATAAGGTGTTGCGAGTGGTTGCTAGGACATTAATAGGGCGTCGTGGATGGTTTCCAGGGTGTTGATAAGGTGTTGCGAGTAGTTGCTAGGACATTAATAGGGAGTCGTGGATGGTTTCCAGGGTGTTGATAAGGTGTTGCGAGTGGTTGCTAGGACATTAATAGGGAGTCGTGGATGGTTTCCAGGGTGTTGATAAGGTGTTGCGAGTGGTTGCTAAGACATTATTAGGGAGTCGTGGATGGTTTCCAGGGTGTTGATAAGGTGTTGCGAGTGGATGCTAGGACATTAATAGGGAGTCGTGGATGGTTTCCAGGGTGTTGATAAGGTGTTGCGAGTGGTTGCTAGGACATTAATAGGGAGTCGTGGATGGTTTCCAGGGTGTTGATAAGGTGTTGCGAGTGGTTGCAAGGACATTAATAGGGCGTCGTGGATGGTTTCCAGGGTGTTGATAAGGTGTTGCGAGTGGTTGCTAAGACATTATTAGGGAGTCGTGGATGGTTTCCAGGGTGTTGATAAGGTGTTGCGAGTGGATGCTAGGACATTAATAAGGAGTCGTGGATGGTTTCCGGGGTGTTGATAAGGTGTTGCGAGTGGTTGCTAGGACATTAATAGGGAGTCGTGGATGGTTTCCAGGGTGTTGATAAGGTGTTGCGAGTTGTTGCTAGGACATTAATAGGGCGTCGTGGATGGTTTCCAGGGTGTTGATAAGGTGTTGTGAGTGGTTGCTAGGACATTAATAGGGAGTCGTGGATGGTTTCCAGGGTGTTGATAAGGTGTTGCGAGTGGTTGCTAGGACATTAATAGGGAGTCGTGGATGGTTTCCAGGGTGTTGATAAGGTGTTGTGAGTGGTTGCTAGGACATTAATAGGGAGTCGTGAGTGGTTGCTTGAGTATTATGGGTGGTTGATAGGGTGCCATGCGTAGATGCAGGTAGTTGTCAGGACATTTCTAGGTGGTTGCCAGGGCGTTGCTAGGCAGGTTGTTGCTCAGGTGTTATTGGCGGTTGCTAGGTGGTTTCTAGGGTGTTGTTGGTGGTTAAGGCCAATTCGCATCACACAGACAAACACCAATAAAGCAAGTTTGCAGTTGGATTTAGATTTTTTTTTTAAATATCTGTCATTTTCACACTGTCCCAACAGACACCAACAAACTGAACATGTTTAGTTGGGTGAAAACTAACCCCGACCAACGCCAACAGACGGCGGCAGGGGTAATACACTGATCAAACAAAACCCAACAAACATGTTTGTTGGCGTTTGTCTGTGTGGAGTGAATTGGCCTTTAGGCAGTGCTAGGGTGTTCTGTGTGGTTGTTTACTGACCCAAGTCGAATGTTATAATATAATTATACTAATTAGATATAGCTTTTTTACCAATTTTATTGACCACCAGGTAAAAATGAACACTTAGAATAGAAAGTTAAAGGATTTGACGTATCATTCTACAGCACATGGTGTGAGAGGAAGTCTACTATTTAGTAGGCTAAGAGTTTGTTCAAATGGTAAAAGTGCAACTGTAAGTACCATACAACATAAGAGAAAATATTGATGAAATCAACCACAAGGTGGCACTATGGCCAACGCCTCATGCTTTTGAACACAGCTGGTTTCCCAGAAGCTGAAAACATCATTATAGCCACTTCATGTCAAAATCAATGCAGAAATGGATTTTTAGATTCCACACTAATCGCACAGAATAACAGTCTGTAGAGAACAGCGAGATAAGCTCTATTCCACACAAACACACATATGCTAAGGCGACAGACACCGTTTGTTCAATCTTGGCACTGTTAAAAATCTTTTACCTATTATGCAACAGGTAAGCAAAAAAGACAATGTTTTGTTTCATCATATTGACCATATCAAAGCACCTGCTATCTATAAATTCTTCCGTATGTAACTGGATCACAGTGGATTGTACCTTTAGGCCATATCAAAGCATTTGACTGATCTGAGATCTGTTAGATGACACCTACCTGGGATGGGGATGACTGGGATGCTCTCATTGGGCACGACTCTGGGTGAGTTACTGTCCTCGACGTAGAAATGAGCCGTTTGGAAACACCTCCTGTGGAAGAGAGACAGGAGAGATGGTCAAGTGACGTAATGGCCGTTCAGCGCTGCTCTAATGTTTCCAGGAGGTGTGGTTTAGGTGACAATCCCCACCAGAGTAAACACACGGTCTGATGGGTACGTATGACAGGATCAAGATGAACTTTGAAACCTGTTTTCAAAGAACAAATCAAACACTCACAACACACTTCAAACACTAGAGCCTCGATACACATGCTTGCTTAAATAAATCTTATCATTTTCTCACTCTCATGTGTTTACAGTGCAAACCTATATGTACTACTGTGAAATGCAAAAGAAGTCATTTTTTTAGTCATACTTTTATGTATTTCTATTGTAGTGAACAGCAAGCTTGAACATTCTGCTAAACGTCCTCTTCTGTGTTCCACGTAAGAACGAAAGTCATAGAGATTTGGAACGATCTGAATGAGTGAATGATAAAGAGATTTTTTTAAAACTATTTCTCATATATACACACACATTTAAAGTCGTAGTTATTGTTTTTATATTGAAATGATTCCAAAAGGTACAGGCTAACCCAAACTCTCCACATAAAATAAACCACATTTTTAACCACTCTCCACATTTTTTTTATTATAATGATCAAACACAATATTTTAATAAAATTTTCATAGCCTAATTATAAAATATCAAATTATTATTTTATATAATTATAATGAATTAAATTAATGAATGTAAATAAATACATTAAATAATACTAATTTAGACAATTTTGTCTGCAAAACCCACACTTTTTTACTCCCAAAATCCATGTGAAACATTTTCTATACACGCGTGTTCAAGCTAAATGTCTATATCCCGTCTGTATGAAGTCTCTATGAAGTCTGTATGAAGTCTCTATGAAGTCTGTATGAAGTCTCAATGAAGTCTGTATGAAGTCTGTATGAAGTCTCTATGAAGTCTGTATGAAGTCTGTATGAAGTCTCTATGAAGTCTGTATGAAGTCTGTATGAAGTCTGTATGAAGTCTCTATGAAGTCTGTATGAAGTCTCTATGAAGTCTCTATGAAGTCTGTATGAAGTCTGTATGAAGTCTCTATGAAGTCTCTATGAAGTCTGTATGAAGTCTGTATGAAGTCTGTATGAAGTCTCTATGAAGTCTGTATGAAGTCTACTTAGAACGAAACACACCAGATTAGGTAAGCAGAAACCCAGACTGTCAGGACGGATTATTGTGTTTCAAGTTTGAGAGTCGTAAACTGGTTTTACCTCTTTCTTTCACTTTGCAAGAGAGTAGATAAGCAGGTAAAAAACAAAATCCACATCCAGCAAAAGTAAACAAACAGAAAGAGAAAGACAACAAGAGAAGGTTGATTTAAAGTTACAAAAAGTCGAAGTTTTGGACGTCAACCCGATAAGCCAGCGGGAGTCTCGTCTGTCCTACCTGTACTTGATGCACAGCAGAGAACATAAGCTGTTCATCCCAGCGAAGAACGAGGGATTTTAGGAGAGGTGAGTGACTGTAGGCTCCGCATGCTGCCGCTGAGCAAACAGAGCCACGAGTGTGTGTGTGTGTGTGAGAGAGAGAGAGAGAGAGGGGGTGGAGAGAGACGCATCACATGCACAGGGCTTTACACACGAGCTAGAGCTCCTGGGGTCAGACGTGAACAGTTCACTGATCCCAGATCTGTCCACAACTCATCTGATAAACCACAGACACCTGCTGCCCTTCCCTCTGGACACACACACACACACACACACACACACACACACACACACACACACACACACACACACACACACACACACACACACACACACACCCTTCCAGATGGACACTCCTTTATGTCCAACTACTCCATTCTTGTATTAAACTCTTAACTCTTCTTTCTGTCCGAGAGAATGAAGAATACTAACATCTTGTTCAAAATCGAATTTCTTCTGTTTAAGCGGATTTATGAATTTGTTATGAGTCAATTCTTAACTCTTAAGCTCCCCAAAAAGAAAAGCACAATAAAATTAGTCCATACAACTCGTGCACTATAGTCCTGTGAAGCCATGCAATGACTTTCGTTATATGATATTTTTGTCAAATTTCTATACTATTATAGTTTTTATTAATATTTTGAATTAGCTTTTATTTTTGTATCTATTTTTTTTTTTTTTTTTTTTTTAAATTTGGTTTAATTTTGAGTAATTTTGTTATGTGCTTTTTTTAAAATTACTATTTACATTTATTTTTATTTTAGTCTGCATTCAGTTTTAAATTTGTATTTATTCCCAGTTAGTAATTTTACTGCTTATAAATAAACTGAAATAAGTTAAAGTTCTGTTTAGTTTAAGTTTATCTAATATTTAGCTAAAAGTGAGTTTATTTTAGCTTTATTTCAATAAACAGAAATGTTTTTAATAGGTTTTTTGGTGTGAATAACAAACCAGTATTTAAGATGTTTACTGAAAATCGTAGATCTGAAATCTCTTCGCGCTCGTGTCGTGATCGGGTGCATTTGAATATGCTAAAATGAATGTGTTGTG